GGGAACGCCAGCCAGTCAGTTGAGTGTCAGAAATCTGGTTTGTCTGACCTGCATGCATGTCTGTCGGCAGATTTCAAAGTCATAGCAACAGAAATGTTCCCACATCACATGAGCATTGTTCAAGAAAGTGAAAGCAGAACATTCGTTAGTGAGGTGGAACGCTTGAACGGTGCAGTAATGACAGGGTGGTCACAGTTTGGAGTGAGCAATCCAGCTCTCTGGCATTTTGTATGTTTTCCGTATGTGGTAGCGACTCTTGGTTTTTTCTATATCTCCAGGATAGCCGTTCTGAACACGAGCGCCAGTATTTATTTAGTCAAGGTCATGGCCTTGCTGAAAACACGGAATTAATTAAATCTCCCAGGTAATGGTTTTGATGGTTCCCTACAGAAATTGCAGTAATTTGTTGGGATTGTTTTCAGGGTAATAAGCAGGTATATTCTTTAAAAGTCTGCTGTTTGATATTTCTATCCATGATAAAAATTGAATAGTTTAAAAAATACAGAAACAAACTTCAACTTATTCAGGTTGCTTTCTTTGTTTCCCTGTACTCTGAGACTCAAACTAGTTGTATTCACTTGGGATTGTAGCCTCTTGTACATTATCACAACCCTGCGTTATTGGGACTGCAAATACTGTAAAGGAAAAGTAAAAGAAAAGCTCCTGGTTAAAATAAATTAAAACACTGAAGCCAGTAACTTCCATTGGTAGCAAATCTTATAAAACTTGTTTTTGTGATTTGTGAGACATACTGGAAACTTGTTCAGTTTTGTTTCTTGGTGACTGCAGCTATACAGGAATCTTCCCATGATGCAGTCAATACTAATGCTTTGCTCTAATCTGATACAACCATGGCCAAGTAATAGGAAAGTGGCTCTCTCTCTGTTTAGTGGTGTCGATGTGTTTTTCTTAACATTTAACGTCTTAGTGGAACAGTGCTAGGTGTTCTGAGAAGTCTTTTGGATCTGATTCTTTCCTCACAGACACTGGTAGTTACATGGGTGGAGAAGACTTTTTGCTTGTTGCTGGCCTGATTCTTTCTGTCTGCAGGACTTCACATTACCCCTCTTACTGCCGTGTCAGAGCACCTGTGTTTAATGTATTTACTCTTGCAGTTCCTCTGTTTGGACACCTCTTCTGTACAGAAGAGCTGGGATTCTGACTCTCATTTATTTCATACCTTCTCTTTGGGCAGATGAATGTCAATAGCTTTTACTAGTACTGAATTTACAGAGGAAGATGGGAGAGGAAAGGGAAGAGCTCTCTCTTCAGGCTAATATTTGTTTTGTAGATACACACAAGTAGGATTGCTCTAAGCAAGAAATAACTTTAATGTACTTAAACCTGGGAAGTCCCACGACAAGCATTTTAAGGATGTGTTTTCTTTTCTTCTAGTGAATATTTAATGATGTTGATGCCTCCAAGCGTAGAGGAAGAGAAGTAAGTGTTTGTACAGAATGTTCAAAGTCCGTATTGGCTGGATGCTCTTTTTTATGGGCTACAAATCTTCTTGTTTACCTGCAGTGACAAACCAATGGCTCCAAGCAATGTGCTTTCTATGGCCCAGCTGAGAACTTTACCCCTTGCTGATCAGATTAAGATCCTGATGAAGAATGGTTTGTAGCTTTTGTAATACATTTGCACTTTACTTTGTGTCTTCTAATTACCTTAGATGAGGTACCTTTCCTAGTAGTACCAGTTCTGTCACCCCACCAGACAGTCTGTCTGGCTCTCTTGTTCTGTGAAGAATCCAAATCCCGAGCCTTTCCTTAAGAAGACCTGCTGTGCAGGGACGAGCAGTTGGCAGCAGATCTGACTGTTGATCTGTATGTTTGCAGTCAAGTTACTCTTAGAATAATTTCTAATCTGATGATAGCTTTCTGGATACATCTATTTCAGCAGGTATCTCCTGGAATGTGGGGTCTGAACATGAATCATAAGTTGAAGGTTAATGCAACAAGCTGCACTTTGGCATTTTCTGCGAGGTTTTCAGTAATAAGCACTTCATGAGTGTCATCTAGGAATTGTATTTTGTTTCTTCAGAGTTACTATCTGATGAGAGCAAATCCTGAGGACTTTGCCTCAGGAGCTTCCTGTCTTGTCAGGTATCTCTGTTTCCAAATATTGCCAAAGGCATAGATTTATTTTATTGATGCATTAATTTGGGACCAGTTAAGCTAATCAACTGTGATGCATCACTAGCAGGTATTTTTAGAACAGAGGATGACTGTAGTGCAAGGGGGGACTTAGTAGAACTTAGGTTCTGGGTTTTTTCTAAGGTATAGATTTGACCATGAACTTCAACATGAATCATAGTATCCTAGATTTATAAATCTATGTCTGTATCATGCACACTGAAGAAACCCTTAATCTGGTGTGTATTTTGCCTTTCAGTGAAGGTCATGCCATTTGCAAATCTGATGAGTTTGCTAGGCTCTGGGACTGACTCTACGGCAGTTCTCCGCTGTATACAGCAGGTGGCAATGCTGGTCCAGGGAAACTGGGTGGTGAAGAGGTATGGCTGGTCTTTGTTACTGGGACATGGTTTTTTGCTTTAAGGAGAGGATCAGAACAATGGATTTTTAATACTCATCTTCCTTGTGTCCCAAAGTAGCCATGTTCTTAATTCACAGTACTGTAAAATCTTGATTTATTGTTTGGTCCTTTTTAGTGCAGTCAGATATTCAAAATTCGAAGGGTTGATGTTAAAGGGTAATACCTTAGTACCTACACCAGCTAAAATTATGGCTGAGCAGTGATGTAATCTGTATTTGCATTTGAGTTATGTTAGGTTTTTGATGTTGTCTTCACTCGTGTTCTTTTGTGGGAGGACTGCCCTGAATTCTTCCAGAGATTAGTATCGAATATAAACACAGAAAATTAAACCAATGTCAGCTATAGTATTTCTTAGCTAAATTCAGTCAAAGAAAGATCTTTGTGCAGTCACCTTGCTGTTCATCAGTGGATGCTGCTCTTGTCAGCTGAAAGCTACCCTCTAGAAGGCATTACCCGCTTAATAAATCAAGTGTGGTGTGCTGAGTGTACCACATGAAATGGATTCTGTATCATCCTCCTGTTTATTAGGATAAAACATCCCACTGGGAATTGAAGTCTAAAGTGCAGTATGATTTTTTTTACCTGGGTGGAGCACTGCATACGGAGAATTATAGTCTCTGAAATAGCTCTCTGTGTTAAGATGAGTGGCACCAGCTACTAGTCCAAGTCTGTTAGCAGGATGTGTTTCAGCTATTGTGATACAGGCCTGTGTTAACAATGTGAACAGTTTTTACAGCAACCCTTGCTGTCCCTCCAGCCATTCCAGAAGGAAGCTGGAAGCAAGTTAAGAGACAGTATATTAGCATTCAGATTGTTTTTATGTTGTAGCTGATTCTTTGCTACTAGTCCGAGAAGGATGCGTGTATCTCTAGGAAATGTGGCATATTTGGGATGGTTGGGCACAGAGCAGCGCATGCACGCATCAGAGCTTTGAATGTAGAAGGGACCCATTTCTTTGGCCTGGGTAGGATCAAGATCATGAACCAGGGCTGCCTTGAGGCCTTGGAGAGCATGTTAACAAATGTCATCCAGTTGGTCTTGCAAGTAGACAAGGACACAGGGTAGTGTTGGTCTCAGGGCTGTTTGGTTTGAGCATGACGTTTTGCAGTATTGTTCTCTTAAGCCCTTGATTGCTGGGAACGAAATAAAAAAAACTTATGTCCATACATCAGCATTTTGGCTAAATGCTGCCTTCAAGGCTGCATACCAGGTTAGCCTAAGCATTTCTTAGGATCATCCTGGTCTTGTTTACACTGATCCAAGGGAGGATAGGCTTTGCAAGAACAAAGCAGAGCTTGTACCTGTGTTGCACACATCTGCTAGCCACAAGGCTATGCTTTGCTGGTGTAAGCCTTTTTGCACTAGTGTAATTGCAGTGGTGTAATTACACCAATATTAATTCCTTTAATGAAAACCATGCTTTGGATAAAGGTATAATTTAACTGCAGAACAGGGAGGACATGTTTGTTAATTTTCACCAATGCCATTTTTCTGGAGTACCTAGTAACTAATCTGTCTTCCTTTTTAATTAACAGTGATGTCCTCTACCCGAAAGATACTTCTAGTCCACATAGTGGAGTCCCTGCAGAAGTGCTCTGTAGAGGAAGAGACTTTGTTGTAAGTATAAAAATATTTGTTGTTTTTAAAGGAAAACGTAGGTGAAGTTTGCCTGGGAGGCCATGGCATTGCAAAAGTCTGCTGCTCTACTGCAGTAAGGTGTTTCCTCCAACAAAATTATTTGTACTTTAATCCTGAAGGTGTTGTTAGTCATCTGTCATGGGAGCGTTGGCGTAGATTGACATTGTGGCTGTCTGGCAGATTCAAATCATCTGTCATTAACAGTATTCATCCCTTTCTAATACGTGCTGTAGAGCCACTATCGCATAGCCCCCACAGTGCAGGGCTTACAGAAAAGCCAGGACTGGATAATAAAGTGCTTGTTTCTCCAGATATATTTCCATGGGGTCAGGACTGTGAGGTCTCAGGAGGGCAGTGTGGGTAAGCCTTGTGCTCCCTGAGCATGTACTGTTGATCTTTAAAAAGGACTTTATTCCCCAGAGCTGCTAATCAGTGAAAGGACTCTGTTCCCAGGCACCTTTTGTGAGCAGTAGCTGCACATGGAAGTTGAAATGAATACAGGTCTTGTAAACACACACGTAACCACAGCAAAAGGGAACAACCTCTGCATTGTGTTTATTTTCACTAACCATGGAAAGAATTAAGTTCCTAAGTGGTTCCTAAGTTCATATTCAGTTTATGGCTTCCACCCCATCAAAGAGAAGCTGACGAGTGCATTGCTCTCATTTTTTTCAGTTAGACTGTTCCCCTTGTTTGCAAAGTTTATGAGATTTAGCTCTGAATAGGAGCATGCGGTGCAAGAGACTTTAAGGATATTACAGTACTAGTAGAAGATAAAACTGATGGTGATTGAAACTGACTTTTTATTGTGACTTGATGTCAGCCCAAGACACTGCCATATGGAGACCTGGATTCAGGTGTGACCCAGTGACATAAGTCTTTAGGACACAGCAGATTAGGTGACACGTCATGTGTAAAGTTCTAGGGACCAGAAATTATTATGTTCAGTTAAGTAAGCGGTAGTGTTTTAGCGATTAAGATGTAAAGATACATTACTTTCATTTGAATTATGTTAAATATACCTTGCGTGAGAAATGGATTGGTGTTAATCTTAAAGGCAAGTAATTTGCTGATTAGCTCTACAACAGGGAAAAAGTTAAAATGTTAGAAAATAGAAAGCATTGGTATTTCTGGCTCTCAGACGAAGTGAAATGTCTGGTCATAAGGCTCAGAAATAGTGTGTAATGCTGTATTGCATCTGTGGAGAAAATGTGTTCTAGCTTAAAAAAGTGAACTTTATTTCCCTGTATATATTTGTCTAAAGTAATTAATAAGGATAAAAAATATTTATGGCCACCATATTTTAGTGTCCACCTGTTCCATGCCATACTTTGGGGAAAAGGAAAAGTAGTTTTTATCTTTTCTGAAAGCTTCTGTTTTTTCCCCAGATTCTCACATAATAAATTCAGAGGATGTGAGTACCATTGGCTCTAGCTGAGGGTAAAGGGCCTAATGAGAAATGGCTGCCTCAGAGTTCTGTTCAAGGAGAGCTGATAGATCTACTTCCTTTGGACAGCAGCTTCCTGTGCTTTAAAACAGAAATGCCTTGTGCCCTAAAGTGAGCGTGGTGGTTTTGTGTGTTTGTGGGCAGAGAGAAGCTGAATCAGAGAGAAGGATGCATAGATGACGTCGTAGGGCGGGAAGAAATTGGCAGTAATGAGATTTTTAATTCTTCACGACATTATTAATACACACAGACTAAAAGAGGTTGTAGTTTATTTAAATGGAGACAGGAAGAAATCAAAGGGGTGTTCAGACATTGTTCTGCCCAAGTCCTCATGTATCCTGTTAACCTGCTCTCAGCAGCTGCCTCTCAGGATGTTAGACCTTAGGAGCTGCTCTGCAGAGCACCTAGCTTTTCCATTAACTGGGGACAAGTATGTGAGTGACAGGCCATCTTGGCATAGCTATGAGTGACCGTGATGTGCACTGAAGAAGGGAACGGGTGCCTTCTACGGGGCTGTGTGCTGCAGAAAGGCAACAGTCATCAGCCTTTACAGCCCACTGCGTTAACAGAAGTGGATGAAGAGTTTATTTAGGTTGATGATTAGGTATGTGAGAAGCAGAGCCTCAAGTGTGACTTCTGGAGTACCAGCATCACTGCAGTGGATTTTTTTTTTTTTTTTTTGGAAGCTAAATGGAGTTTGAGTTCAAGAGATTCTTCGTAGCTTTTGTAGTCACAGGTTCATCAAGGCAAACCATGGACTCTCAAAGCTTTTGATACTGTGTTCATGGCTATTTGAGACCAGAAGAGTCTAGAAAGTGTTTTCCCACTACCTGGCTGAGAATCGCCTACTTCCACATTCTTGAAAGGAATGGGGTTTCCATTTTTCTGGTAACATCATTGAACAGGGTCATTACTACAATTTCAGTAAAGCAACTGCTAAATACGGTTACTAGGTTTTTCTCTTTTGTTCCCTTCTTAGATGTGGAAGTTCACACAGGACCGCTGGGTTGTGAGAAAGGAAGTGGCAGCAGTTACAAAAGTGAGTGATTTTTTTTCTTTTTGTTTTTTTATTCCTAAATCAGAAGTTGGTGATATGTGTTGCACATTGTCCGTAGGTTGGTAGTGGGTGCTGCTGCAAGCCTTTTCTAAAGTTCACAGTGTCTGCATTACTGCTGACTTGCAGTGTTGCTCACCAGGCATGCCTTCACTTTGGAACAGGTAGGTATAGATACATACTCTTTTTACAAACATTTTGAGCAGCTCCCACAGTTACCATGACTCCACAGGATATGACTGGCCTTGTCGCTGAGCCACTGGAATGCATCTTGTCCTCTCATCTGTTTCAGTGGAAAGCCAGACACAGTTTGAATTAAACTGACTGATCGTGCACCAAAGCAGATGAGTGCTTGTGCAGTCCACACTAGCTGCTCTGCCTTGGGTGCGTTAGAAAAGAGCAACTCTTCTGTCACCATTTGCCAGTTGTCAATATTGAATAAAAGCTTTAAAGCAACTCGGGCACCTGAATATTTTGTTAAAACTGGCAAATGAATGAGAAACATTAAGTAAAGAGGAAAAATAATTTCCTTAAAATGCTGTAAAACGATAAAACATGAGTCAATTTATGCACAGACCATCTATTTTTGGAATGTAAGATCCAGTGCCGCTTAAAAGCTGTGCATGTGTAGGTGCAGCATGTTTGACCTGCAGCTTTAAAATAAGATTGACATTGTAGAATATGCTTCTCTTCACAACAGAGTCTTTTCATCTCAGTTTGGAAACTCCCTTTTCTTCACAAAACATGCCATGAGCTATTTGACTCTCAGGTGATTAATTACCACTGCTCTCTGAAGTCCTGTGCTTTTAACATTGTGTGAAAGTGTTGGTGCTGCAGAGAAGGATGAGTATCTCTGACTTAGCTGGGTGTGTATTCATGGAGGTGCCCCATACATACCAAATCAGTCCAACTCTTCTTGTCTCATAGAACAATGCCCATTGCTGCATGGCTGCATATGTCCTATGTAAATTGACTTCCATATTATTTATGCTTTTGCTTTTTCTTTTAGCTTTGTCCAGAAGATGTGAAAGACTTCCTAGAGCACATGTCCGTGGCAAGAATAAACAAAGGTTGGGAGTTCATGCTGCCTTATGATGAAGACTTTGTTAAGAAGCATCCAGATATAGTTCAGAGGCAACATATGCTGTGGATGGGCATTCAGGCCAAGTAAATGACTTGTTTTATTTTGGGGAATAAGCTAAAAACAGGGAACTATCTTGTACAAAGTTTCTGTAGACATTGATAGATAATTTGATCTGTATTGCCTCGAAGGTTTCCCCCTCACAGTCACCAGGCAGTGGTGTGGTGGGGGGTGTCACTGCATCATTCAAGTCATTCCTGTTTCTTGGCTCCCTGGAGACACTGAGTGTTCTAGTTAATGGCCAAAGCTGGCATGGCTGCATGCAGGCATAACAACTGAAACTGTCTTGGTATATTTTATCTTTGTCTTTCAGATTAGAAAAGGTCTATAATCTCTTAAAGGAGCACTTGACGCCAAAGAAACAAGAGGCACAATCAGGTAAATGGAATTGTGCTTGGATCATCTTGAAGCACATGCATCTCTCCATATTCCTGGGTGATGTTTTGGAGTTCCTCTTTGGTTTTGAACATGGTGGGGACTGGCCTTGTTTTGTTTAATATTTTCCCATTCTTGTGATTTCCTTTGGATTATTTGAGACAGATCTTGGTCTGTACTAACAACACTGATGTTGGGGTGACACAAGCTTACTGTAGCATCCTCATAGCAGAGCACAGAGGATTCCTTGGCAGTGGGGACTTGCCATTTGATGGTGTAAAATCAGCTGGTTCTCTTATCAACTTCTTCATTTAAGGCAGCTTGTGTGGTGTAAGGGTGTAAGCAGCTCCTGAAGAGAGGACAGGGCCAGTGCACAAGTAATTCTCACCTCTCAGTTTGCAAGTTAATGTGCAGGAGGTGATTTTTGTTTTTTTTTGTTTCGCCTGATTTGCACTGGGCTCTCTGTCCTGTGGTTGAGGGGTGAGCAATTAATGAAGAATGTGTTTGGCAGGGGGCTGTAAGGAGGTATGAAGCTGTCTCTTTTTGATGTCCTTCTCCACCATGGATGCCAGTGAGAATATTAAAGTAGCTGCTCCAGAATTTTAAAAGATTGTGAAAACTTGAGATTCCAGAGAGTTTTAACTAGGTATTTGGCTCATTGCCAGACACTGGAGCCAATGAAGAGTATAAGCAGAACTGACAAATGAGCATATGAATCCATTTCAATACCCTGTGTCTGATCTGCTTGGAAGGATTAGGTGTTGGGTTATTTGGAGAGGATTAGCGAGCCTAACAGCAGAGAAGATAACAGTATGTGTGCTGTGCATGATTTTGCCTTAAACACAGCACTCCTTCCTTTGGCATTGAGACTGGATTCCTCTGCTGCCAACACGCCCCTTCCTTTCACCTTTGGATAGCTGGGTGTGTAGAGGACCCAGGGGAAGAGGCACAGGATTGCATGGGAAAAGAGCTCCCTCCTGTCCCTTTCTCCCCATCACTGGGTAATAATACTAAGAAGAGGGTCTCAGACTTTCACACTGTGTGCCTCATGCTAGAAGGGTATTCAAGTTCACTGTTAACCCCTTCACTCTCCTCACTGTACCTATAGGACATCCTTGTGCTGGCTCTGGCAGTTCCTGAAGCAGGCCCCACCGGCCACTAGATACTCTAAAAAACAAACAAAAAAAAAGTTGTTAGGCAAAGCAGCATTTGGGTCATGAGTAGAGATGTATAAGCAGTCTGTATCCTGGTTTCCTGACTTACAGAAAAGGCCCTAGTGATTGAACAAGTGCACTTTGTCTTTGCTTCAGGTTCCTCAACTGGAACACCCTTCCCGAAGCATCTGGCTTAAAATTTGTCAACATGTTTATCTTTAAAAAAACCAACCCCCCCCCATCACCCCCACCCCAAAAAACCCCCACCAAAAAAAACCCAAACTAAAGTAAAATCTTATCAACAAACCGGGTTTATGCCTTAGATTTCACAAGCAGAGGACATTTCCTGCTTTCATTTCACTATGACCCCTTCAATAAACATTCTGCAAGACTGGAGCCCTGGTTATGGTGAGATTTATGGTATCTCTTGTTTCTTACTAGCTCATCCGTTACTGGTTTCTGGGGAGCAAAGAGTCAACATGGCTAAAGCAAAAGTCAAGCAGAACTATGGGCAGCTGGAGAAGGAGTTCCAGAAGCAAAAGGCAGAGATGAAATCCAATGATGCCTCAGCCAAGATAGATGTTTCCAATATCCGCATTAAAGAGGAGCCTGTGAGTGACGAGGAGCCAATGGATACCTCGGCTTATGAGGGCATGAACAATGGCATTGTCAACGGCCTCCATGCAGAGGAGGACTCCACGGACTCTTTAAACGGCCACTTGCCTGGAGGCTGCATTGACCGGGTAGCCCAAGAACTGAAGGCATTTGTGTCGTCAACATTTAAGAAACAATTTGTACTCACCCTGAGTGAGCTTAAACGGTTATTTAACCTTCACTTAGCCAGTCTGCCTCCAGGACATACGTTGTTCAGTGGCATTTCGGACAAAATGTTACAGGACATGGTGTTGGACACTGGCTGCAAACAGATTTTGGTGCCTGTAAGTATGTTTTTCCCTGGGTGTACTTTGGGGAGGAGGGATTGGGGGGCAGTTAAACATCTGAGCTGTGAAATATTTGTGTCCTGTGCTGGTGGACCAGAAGAACAGATGTGCGCTGAGTAACTGGATATGTTGAAGCTGCTGGAGGTTTGTCTGCCGTCCTGCTTCTGGCAGGCCCTGCACTCTGCTTTCTTTGCTCAGTGGTATGCTGCATAGTTTAGTTGTCTTTGGGGCTCTGTTTCCACATCCAAGCTGTCGGGCTGCAGTGACTCGCTGTCCCAACTTGCTTCTGTTAACATGATCTAAGGCAGTACCAGATTCCCATCAGCTCTCCTGGAGTTGCACAAGCTGGTTCTCTCAGGGACAGGGATACATTTGGGGGAAGAAAGGTGGCATTGACTGCCTGGGAGTGGCAAGGCACGCCCAGCAGAGCCGTCTGGGAAGTGGCAAACCATATCTGCAGCAGATTTCTTTGGTCAGACCTTTTCCTTCTAGACTGTGCAGAGGTGTCTTTGTTTCTTTGTCTTTATGGAAATGACATGTGTGATTGCGTGAGACAGAGCAGGTTTGTGTGACAGTAGATCACTTAGGAAAGGAAAAGGAATTTGGCATCATGGGAAACAGCCTAGAAGGAAATTAATTTTACAAGACATCTGGCAGTGCTGATTGGGTTGCAACGAGAAAGAGCTTGGGAGTCAGCTGTCTTTGGGGAGAGGGGAAAAGAGACGTGTGAACTGCTTGAAAGAGCAGGCAAGGCGGAAAGAGCAGGAAGCAGGCAGGCTGACGAGAGAGAGCCTGGAGCATGGGAGTTGAAACTCAGCTAAGGAGTAAGGGTTGCTAAGGGGTGGCGGGGGGACGACAAGTAACATGTTCAGTCATGTGCAAAGTACATGTTGTGGCACCTGGGAACCAAGTAACAGACTCAAAACGCCACTAGGGAGACCACTGATTTTGGTACTTTCTGCTTTCTCTCCTGACAGCTTCCAAGTCCTGGAGTAATGTTTGCCTGGAAGTGCCTCTTAGTGCTGGCTAGGCTCTTCTTTGTATGCAGTGTAATAAGTGCATTTGCCATCCTGATGGTAAATAGCTGAGGTCATTGCTGCTCTGTTACTTGGGACTGGGACTTGTTTGCTTTGGAAATTTTGGGATTTTGGAAAGGATTCCCTCCACTCTTTGCTTAAAAGCTGTGAGGAGTGAAAGTGGGATAGTTTCTTTTTTCAAAAAAACAACCAAAATAAAATGCTCTTGAAGAGAGGTGGTTGGGAACTTCCTTCTGTCTGGAAAACCCTGTCACAGGAGACCTGCAGAGGTGTAGAAGTGGTCACTGGAAAGCCTCTTGCTGGAGGTCTGCTGTAAGTTTTAGTTCTGCTGACCCAGAATTTACTGCAAAACTTGAGATGTTCTACAGGAGCCTGTATGAGCCTGTACTGTTATCAGCAATGTAAATTGTTACCCCCAAGCATCCCCCTGATGCTGTGTGCAGATGGCAAAGGTGCTGGGGCTGGTTTTAACTCTTTGCATGGGCTCATACACTTTGGTATTTCTTGATTGTTCCCCTGGACAATTTTGTCAGAACCCGACAAGGGTGCCTGAGCTCAGGGAAAGCCTGGAGGGTTGTTTAGCGTGGGATTTCATAGTTGCTCATTAGTTTTCTGTAATTGAAAGTGCTTTGGTGATAAAAATCAATGATCTGAGGTAATTAAAATGATGTTCTGTGGGGGGTGAAGACACTCTTGGCTTGCATGCTGCCCTATTATGGAAAACATGTTGCTGAAAACAGCAATTGAAACCTTACCAAGGCAATGCAGGCTTTATTATAAAGCTGACCGACTGCACCCAGGGTATGAGATAAATAGTATTTGTGGGGAGCCAGAAGAGGTGCCACTCCAGCTGCAAAGGAGGCTGTGGGGATGCCTGCAGAGTGCTGTGCTTGCCTGTGCTTTGTAGCATCCTCAAGTGGGAGGGAAAAGCACACGTACAGAAATACCGGATCCTGGGCAGATGCACCCAAGTGCAGTGGGGTGCTGCTGCCATCAGAGAGAGGGTGAGTAGAGACATCGTCAGCAGACACTGGCACTGTGCGTGTGTCCGGGGCTTGCGCAGGCTGACCCTGTGTCTAGCTCCACAGAAAACGTTTGCACAGGAATCTGGCTCCTGAATATCTGCACCCATTTCCTGCAGACTGATGGGGGTGCATGGGGGTGGCTGGCTCCTGCCAGCTCCCTTCCCACGGTCCCTGCAGTGGCAAGGTTCTGCCCAAATCTTAAGGATATTTTTGAGGTATCAGGAAATGATGTAACCATTGCCGGCGTCCTGCCTGGCTAGGGTAACAGGAGAGGAATGCAGCCCTGTGCTTACGGTGAGCCTTTTGGGCTAGTGCTGATGCCAGGCTCCTGGAGAGGTAAGCTCAATAGTTTACCTCTAGGATTATTCCAGCTGATAAGTTTTTTTTTCTGGCAGACTCAGCCCCTTTCAGTCTGGTTTAGCTATAATGAGAGGCTGCCTGGCAGTGGCTATTTTTAGGGTGTGCTCAGTTCTTGAGTGAGACACATCCCAAAGCCAAGGGCTCCTCCCTGAGAGCTTCCGTTTTAACGTGGCAGCCCTGGGGACCTGGGCCAGCAGTTCATCTCCTAAAAGCCCTGCACTAGTTCTGGGGGCTTAGAGCAGGAAGGGGCACAGGGCAAATACTGTAAATGATATTATGGCAGTGGAGAGCTGTTTCAAGGTGAGGCTGGAGAGATTAAGATAAGGAACATAAAATGGCAAAGGGACGGCAATGGCAAGACAGTAAAGCTGTTTGGACAGAGCAGCATGTGTCTCAGAGTCGCTGACAGCATTTCCCGCTCCTGTGGACAGGCTGTATGACAGCAGCAAGCAAGCAGGGTGCTGTTGGCAGCAGTGTTTGCAACAGTTTGCAGAGTAAATCTGGACGGGAGGAGGAGATCCTGTGGGTTTTATTTCCCAATTAAGTATTGTGTTGGTTTGGAAGCCGTTTCCTCACAGAGGGGCCGGGTAAACACAGCTGCATTTCAGACCTGTGGCTGAGGCGGGAGGAGTTTGCACTCTGGGTCTGTGTTGAGTGACTTTCGCAGAGCGAGGCAGGTTGTGGCTGGGTGCTCCTGGTGCCCTGCATTTTGCCTTTCCTGCTGCAGCTGTTTTCTGGAGGGAAGCTGAAGTGTTTGATTTTATCTGCGCTGAAAGCATACAAGAGATATTATTCCTCAAAAGCAAATGTCCTTAGGAGAAGAGAATTGTGTCAGGTGTTGCGAGCCTAATAAACCTGAATCCTGGCTCTAAATCAAGTGTAAAACCTTGTTATAGTCCAGCCAGTTGGACCAACATGAGAGCCAAAGCTGCTAATCCCACCAGGCAGCTTCTGCTGCACAAAACTCTTCCTCTTTGCAAGAAGATCAGAGGCAAAGGGTGAAAGGAAAGGCTGATCTTTCACTCTGCAGTGCACAAGTCTTTTGGCATGGTGTGAGGCAGGCTGGGAAGAAAGGTTTGGTTTGTACCAGCAGCTAGGATTGAGGGATGCTGAAACAATCAGGATTGGCTTGTTAGCTTTTCATAGATGATTGATTTAGGTTGTCTGGGCGGTTACAAGGAATAAGTTGTTAGTAACAGTCAGGAAGAGGCATGTCAGGAGTGAAGGCATATGCCAGCATTGCTCGTTAGTCCCTGCTCCAAGGGGAAATGTTAAGGCAAATCTATGGTATTTTATTTTTTTAGGAGTAAGGGGCGTGGAGGGAAGGCAGTTGTGTTCCTTCCTGTGTGCAGGGGTGTGAGGCCTCTGCCTCAGAAAAAACAGATGTATTTCTCTAGCTTGGCACATGGAAAAAAAAAAAACAAACAAAACCTCTTCATTTTTGGAGCCTGAAACGAGCAAGTGTCTGGTTCAGTGTCCAGTCTTCTAGAGTCCTGTAGTCTGCCCCAAAACAGATATGACAAATACAGCAGAAGCACAGTGTTTGTCAGTAACGCTGACTTGGGATTAGTGAAGCAGATAAATACAGAATAAAGTCTGAAACTCTAAAACCTGCCACTGTAAATGTAAAAACCTCCAGAAAGACCCTACAATATACTTGGTGCTCTCAGTTGAATACTGCTTTGGATGGTCTGGAAGCAAATGCTGCTGACAGGAAGAATCTAGACATCTTGCCATGAGATACTGGCTAAGGTCTAGGCCCTGGGATTGCTCTGGTATGTGGCGATTGACCTTCCACCAGTAGGAAACTGTCCCCATGCAAAATTCACAGGATTCCAGTATGCCCAACGGTTCCCTTTTAAAGCTCTGAAATGGTTCGTGGTGTGCCAGACATGGCATCAGGGCCCATGGCACTGGTGTGGGTTACCCCACTGTCACCAGAAGCATCATTCTCTTTGCTGGGTGAAAAACTGGCTGGATGGACAAGCCCAGAGGGTTGTGGTGAATGGAGTTAAATTCAGTTGGCGGTGGGTCACAAGTGGTGTTCCCCAGAGCTCAGTATTGGGGTCAGTTCTCTTTAATATCTGTATCAATGATCTGGATGAGGGGATCGAGTGCACCGTCAGCAAGTTTGCAGACAACACCAAGTTGGGAGGGAGGGTTGATCTGCTCAAGGGTAGGAAGGCTCTACGGAGGGATCTGGACAGGCTGGGTCAATGGACTGAGGCCAATTGTATGAGGTTCAACAAGGCCAAGTGCTGGGTCCTGCACTTGGGTCACAACAACCCCATGCAACGTTACAGGCTTGGGGAAGAGTGGTGGAAGGCTGCCCGGCAGAGAAAGACCTGGTGGTGCTGATCGACAGCCGGCTGAATATGAGCCAGCAGTGTGCCCAGGTGGCCAAGAAGGCCAACGGCATCCTGGCCTGTATCAGAAATAGTGTGGCCAGCAGGAGCAGGGAGGTGATCGTCCCCTGTACTGGGCACTGATGAGGCTGCACCTCGAGTCCTGTGTTCAGTTTTGGGCCCCTCACCACAGGAAAGACACTGAGGGGCTGGAGCGTGTCCAGAGAAGGGCAACCGAGTTGGTGAGGGGCCTGGAGCACAAGTCTTAGGAGGAACGGCTGAGGGAACTGGGGTTGTCTAGTCTGGAGAAGAGGAGGCTGAGGGGAGACCTTATCGCTCTACAACTACATGAAAGGAGGTTGTAGTGAGGTGGGTGCTGGTCTCTTCTGTCAGGTGGCTGGAGATAGGACGAGAGGAAATGGCCTCAAGTTGCGGCAAGGGAGATTTAAGTTAGATATTAGGAAAAAATTTTTTACTGAGAGGGTTGTCAGACATTGGAACAGGCTGCCCAGGGAAGTGGTTGAGTCACCATCCCTGGAGGTATTCAAAAAGCGAGTAGACGGGATACTTCAGGACATGGTTTAGTGGGCATGGTTGATGGTTGGACTCGATGATCTTGAAGGTCTTTTCTAACCTAAATGATTCTATGATCAGTCAAACATGGCTTGGGCATATCAAGGCACACATCGGGGTGCCATGGTGCTCATTCCCATTCCCTAGGCCATAGTTAGCCCCTTACTAATTTGGGGTCTGTGTGCTGCAGGATCAGCCAGCAGGACAGGTTTGATACAGATCGTGTTTCTGTTGAAGTCATCGGGCCTGCAGGAAGGTGTCTGCCTCATGGCTGCAGGACGGGCCATGCCTGAGCAGGCACAGGGGCTGCCAGAGCAAAGTTACCCCTTCGAGTGTGGAATGGGAGAGGAGCTTACGTTGTTTCAGCAGTTCTCATTACATGGCAACGACGTTTTTGATGCAGTAATAGGTGTCCAGGGATACTGTGTCATAGAATCATTAAGCAGAACTCATTAAATACATGGTTATTTTTAACAGCCTCTTGTTCTCAGTTTCCTCCACAGACTGCTGCTTCACCAGATGAGCTAAAGGTCTATGCGCTTTGGGAAGCTGGTGACACTTATGATCAGGTAAAAATAAAAATAAGTGACATTCCCAAATATATGTTTATTGAGCATTTGGCATTGTTTGAATTTGTGTTTCTGGAACTGGTACAGCAGGCAGTTTTCTTCTTTCCCTGTTGAAGTGTACAGTTTTCAATACCAACCTATTTCCAGCTGAGAGGAAGCTCTTAGTTCACAGGGTGATCATTGCTGTGTCAAGAGAAAGCGGTGTGGGCAGAAGGAACATAGTATGTTGGTAATACATGTCAGTAACTAGCTCAGTGGAATACAAATAATTTTAAACCTGCAAGGAGAAATGATTCTCCAGTGCAGGGCTCACACCCGAATCCAGTCCAATTTTTTAAATTTTTTTTTTTCCTTTTGGTGGTAATGCAACGTTAACCAGAGATTAAATGATGTTGTTACCTGATGTATCTGTTTATACTTAGAATAGGAAATGATTATAGCATATGTGAGCATCTCCCAAGTTTTAATTGCTATCAGAGTAAATGAAGTGAAAGGGAAGGAGCCTAACAAAATGTGGATGGAGAATGTAACTCCTGTGTCCATGACCTAAATAAATTTTTATAGGAAAGAGTCAAGCAGTATCCAGCCTCCTGGCTGGTGTGGACCATGTGAACTCCTGTGGAAGCATTTGAGAGGAATATCTTGCAGCCCCTTCTCCAGCATGTTCTTGTATCTTTGGAGGTGCCCCAGGTCACAGGGCAGGTGCAAGTCTGGCCACAGGGTAGAGAGAGATCCCTGTAAGGCCCTCAGAGGCTAGGGCACTGCTGGAGGGCAGATGAGTATGGGACGGTTTCAGGATTACAAAGCAAGACTGCTCTAGTGTAGTTCAGTAAATGTTTTGTACAGACTAAGGCACGTGCAGTTTTGATATATAGAAAGATAGTAATAGTTGTTCTTCTCTTTGTATTTATGATACGTTTTCTTTTAAAGCATCGCCAAGTTTTGCTTGAAATCTTTTCGAAAAATTATCGAGTGCGCAGGAATGTCATCCAGAATCAATTGAGTCAAGAATGTGGAGAAGATCTAAACAAGCAGGAGGTGGATAGAGTGCTAAAGGTATGTTTCTATTCCATTGTGGGTTTGATCCAATCAGTACATGAATTTTTAATGCTTGGTTTAGCAAAGGATCATATTTTACCTTGAACTGACAAATGATAAAGATGATAGAACAATTGTTGTTGGAATGTGGACAAAGCCTGTTTTTCAGCTTGTTTTCTTAAAAATAACGCTTGTCTCATTCTGCCTTCTTTCCCTCCGACGAGTAGTGATTTTGACTCACATATTATTTTGTATTATTGCAACAAACCTTTATTTGTCATCTTGGACCAGCAGAGAATAAAGTGTAGTAAATGTGATACTTCAGAGTTATTTTTAAATAATTTGAAGTTAAACATTAAGGAGGTGGGAGGGTTCTGCACAGTGTTCTGAGTTAACCAGCTGACTGCTGTTGGTTAATACTGAAGAGCACAAGTGCCGCATATTCAGGAGGAAGTGCATTTCATTCTATAGAAGAACGTGCAGCAGTGTACGGAGCAAAACCCTAGCCAAAACAAGCAGGCAAAGTAGTAGTTAACACATTTCATTGTGAATGTTTATTTGAATCCTTTCATCTCTGTCTTTGAAGGTGCACCATTTACTTGCTAAAGAAGTTTAACATATAAAGTAGGGACCACACAGGCCATGATTGACAAGCTTTAAAAGCGATGCAGGATGGTTTAAGTAGAAAGTTGCCAACTAATGTAATACTTAAATCATTGTTGCTGGGCCTTTGCTCACTGTCACCCACTTCAATAAGACAAGTGCTTAAGTACTTTATTACATTAGGATCTGAAAACAGAATAATAGTATATTTGAAAAATTACAGATCCGTTGCTGTGATAATAAGCCAACTGGTCTTGCTTGAAAGAACCTGGTTTTCTTAGCATTAAAATAAGCTCAGACATTTCTGCCTGCTAGACAGTATTTCATGTGGCTTGCCTGTGCCGGGAGATTTGTCAAGCGACTAGATGAGCTCAAATATCAGCTCTCCTGGAACATCTAGACAATGTACTGGCATTAGTTTTTCATGATGCTGTTGCTATTTAACAGATAACCTATTTGTAGAAAAAATACCTTCCCCTAAAAAACTGGGTACTGTTTTTATGTAGGTCACTAAGTCATCGCACAACCAGCCTTGTGTAGTGTCAGGCCTCTTTGCCTTGAATACATTGGTCACAGAAGTATGTGAAATTAGCTTTGTTTCTGAAATGAAATTTAGAAGTATGATTTAATGAAATAGGGCGATTCTCTGGCTTCTTTAAGCCACAAGAGAGAGGATTCCTCTTTGAATGAAATTGGATTTGTTGACTCCTGTTTCCCCATCTGCCTGTGCTCCTTTTTTATACACAAGAGGAACAGACTGCCAGGGTTTGTATTTTTGCATCAGCAGATCAAGTCCGCAAACCCTCTTTCTAGCCCCCACACTTAATTTCTTATTTGGTTTTGTGATGTGCAGGTCCCAAGACTTCAGAAAAAAAGATAGTTTTTTCCCTTTAAGCTACAGATCATCAGTTTTTTAGCAGTACTTAAGCCCGTGTTGAATTACCTAAATGGAAGGGTGGGAGCAAAAGAAAGAGAAGCCATTAGCTTAGAACTCGAGAGACTTGGTGCTCATCTAATAGAAATAAGAAAATGAGCCACAAGAAAACCCGCTTACTGAACTCCTTTGCTGTGGTGCTTACTCGCTGTAAGCTTAGCAGACGTGTGGTCGGAATACCAAAGCACGGTTCTGAGGTTTGACAGTTCATTATCATAGAATGTTGTTTCTTAAAAGGCTTCAGATCTGGCGACCGCTTTCACACTCCAGCCTGTTCCCGCTGCTCCCTTCAGTCTCTCCACCTGAGCTTCAGCCTGTGTGTGCCCCAGTTCCCTTGTCCTCACCCCTGCCCACCACCTTTCCTGAGCTGGCTGCTGCATGATCCCCATCTTCTCCCCACAGAAGCCCCGTTTCTTGCTGCCATTGCATTGTTTGTCCTCCTCGTGGCCTCTCAACCTTCCCCCTCTTGTGTTTGTCATCTTCATTTAGGCTATATGGTCTTCAGGGTGGAGATAACCTGCTGCTCTGGATTTGTGCTCTCTCTTGTGCTCTGGAGAGGGGACTTGGGTTATTGATCACATTTATTGCCCTAAAGCCAGACAATGGTTCCCAAGACCATACGGACTTTCCCTTTCTCCCCAGGACTGCTGTGTGAGCTACGGCGGAATGTGGTATCTTAAGGGGACGGTGCAGTCTTGACAGCGGTGGTAGCGGTTTCAAGCGATCTCCAGGACGAAAGAGGAAACCTGCAGTGGGCGGCACAGACAGAGTAATGCCGTGGCCTCGGGAGTGTGGGGCAGGATCTGACCCACTTTGGGGCATGTGGGCATTGCAGACAGACAGTCACAGATACCCCAACACACACACATACACGCGCGCGTGTCTGCATGGCCGCCTAGGCGCACGAGCAACTAGGAGGACAACATGGGACCCTGTCTGCAGCTTGATTAATCTGGGATTTCTAATGTATTTCAACTCTCGTTCTGTTTTGTTATTAAAAAAATAAAACCACATACTGACAACAGACATGATGGAAAATCATAGTCTAATACTTTATTTTGTAAGTAATGCCAATAAATTAAATTGTTTACAAACATCCCAGTTTTTGTTAAATACCTAGATGCTCATACTTTAGTCTGAGCGTTGTAATAGCCCTTGCAGCCCTCTTTATAAAAAAGAAGATAGTCATGTTCATGGAAACGTCAGGCCTGGGAGGGGGGAACAAAATCATTGTCTTTGAACTCTGTACAACATAGCAATTGTTCTCACCTGTTGTCTGTGAAATGAGTTATTTGGGAAAGTACCTAGATTTGAAACAGATGTGGAACTACTACTGGATTTCTTTTATTGGTGTGGGTTTTGTTTGAGGGATTTTTTTGCCATTACTGTATGCAAATACAGTGAGGTAAGTAAGCAAGTGCACCCTCTGGAAGGCATCCAGCTGTAGCTATCACACAGCAACAATGTAAAACCTCTATTTTGTGTAATTTTTTTAATAAAATTTTATCTTGAAGGTCAATTCTACCCTGCCTTGTATTTGTCCAAAGAAAGGGAAGCTGTACCCACTCCTTTTATAGCCTGAAGGCTTATGGAGGAAGGAAAGGTCAGGAATGTTTAGTAGAGGCTGGAGGTAGATAGTAAACCACTTTACATCGTTCTGCTTGCATCATATTCTTCACGGGGTAGCTGCCAAGCAAAGGGCCTGTTGCACAAGGTGCAGTAACTGATCTTTTTGTTACAGGTTTATCATTGAAGCCTAACTGCAGTAAGATAAGGAATATCCTACTGTAAGCACTGTAGAACATGGTTACTTTACTGGTCATGTTCTTTGCTATAATTTCCATCACATGAGAAGCTCAAGGAGATTCTATTAATTTCATCTACTTATGCTCAGAAAAGGCCGAGTTGTTGACTAAAATAAGCAGATTAAGGTAGTTAATCCAGATAAGATTGGCTAAGAATATTGTTACCACACTTATGGCATTTCACATTTCTGTGGAAAATACCTAAACTGTGAAAACTCTACCTTAATTAATACGCTAGCGTGGTTCATTAACTGCATCAATATAACTGGGAGGTGTTTTAAGTTCAGGCAGCCTTTGCAGCCTTTGTCTTGGTCTGTTGCACGCACCCATGGCTGGCACTGCCCTAGTGCAGCCCTGCTGCTGTAGCATTACCTATGGCTGCACCTGTACGGCTTCTCTCGGGGAAGGCCAGAGCCTGAGAGAAGTTACGAAAGAAGAACCCAGCCGTGGAGTTTTTTATTGCACAATATGCACGGGTAAGTGTTAAAGTACAGTACAGCCAGAGCTTAGCAATGGCACAGGTAGCCAAGGGGAAGTTACATTACAGAAGCAGCAAGTAGTTCCATGGAAATCATTTTTAAAGCATAAAAACTGTATGTATGAAAGTGCTCTAAATTAGCGAGCAGTAATAAACCACTGAAGATCACCTATTTAACCAAAAATTCTGAATTGCTTTTACATGTCTTCTGGTCCAGCAGGTGTGAATTCCCCCTTCCCCAGAAGCAGTGAGGAATATTAGTAGTAAATCACCGGTGACTAACAGTGTCATGTCTTTCTCATTTAAGGTTACTGCTTTCCAGTATCTGAATTGGGCAGACCTCCAGGTGACAAGGATCCAAGTGTTAGGGAAACAGCGACAACACAGTTAACCTGATGGCAGAACAGCAGCTTTTCTGCCTCCCCCCCATTTTGAACAGCACTGCCAAACACCACAATGAGAAGAAACTACATAGTTCCCTCTGCATTTCTATCCTAGATAGGCCTCTCCTTTTCCATACAGCATAACCTTTTTAAAATACAAACTTAATGGGAACTCCATCCTAGCTCTGTAGATGTAGGAAAGATGGCAAGACTAGATAATGCAGGTGCCATCTGTACCTAGTTTACTGTTCCCTGATTGGCACAGATGGGCATAGTTACTAGTCACACATGTAGCTTGACTGGATTGTTTATTTGCTTAGAAAAATACAAGAGCCAGATTCTTATTTTTAAATAATTTTCAGAATGCAATACATGTTTTGGGGAAAATCCCACAATATGACATCTTAATACTGCAACTGAAGGACAGCTATACACAAGCGCAACAGGATACAACATAAGGCAGACAGAACTGCAACAGCTGAACTAAAGCTGAGAAACTGTCAACGTTCTGTGTCAACTGTTTGGTGTATCGCAGCAACTCAGACAGGCAGTAAGTTGATTGCAAGAACAGCTGCCCAAATTAAGCTATGAGACCCTTTATAAGGAAAAGGATGTCACTTTTCATTGTGCCTTTCCTCCTCCCCTTAATCTCTTAGCCTTTCTTTTCCTCACACTTTGAAGCAGTTTTAAAGAACATACTTCTCCATGTTCTTTGTTTTTCAGAATTTGAATATGTATGAATTACTATTAGGGAGTGGAGAAGGGGAAGAACAAGAGCGTGGTCCCCTGTTTTCAGTAGGGTATGTTCTGGCAGTGTTGTGTCCATCCTCCCACCCCTGAGGCAGCATGGAATAAATAGGTCCACAGAAGCTGATGCTGGAAGCAACAGACAGAACAGCATGAGAAGGTTTTACCTGGCCCATCTCCTTCAAGCACTTGGAGTTTGTGATATGTAAGAAGAAAAGCTATTCCACTATGTCAGTGCTACTACTAAAGTTAAATAGCTAAATTGCAACTTTCTATCTTACCAAATACACATAAAGATGTGCAGACATTCCACCAAAGAACAGTAGGTCCCAAATAACATACATAATCAATTCACAGTATCTTGCCTTAAGACAAAGTGCCCTACATAAGAAACCATACCTAAAAAGCCACGCAAACTTCACATCAAATCCTTTCTTAGTAGGAAGACATTTACACCAATCTGTGGGAGAGCTTAGCACATGTGGAAATGTGGTATTGGCTTCAAGCAAGCACAGCGCAGGCTGCTGTGCCAGCTCTCCGCCTCCCTGCCAAAGCAAGTTCAGCTAGACTGCTAACTTCATTCTCAAGAACCAAGGAGAGGCTGCCCATCAACTGGTCAGGGGCTTTGTTTTTGTTCATTTTCTACACAGATGTAGTTACAGGGCTAGATCATCACTGCAAACTAAAGGAAAGCTTTAGTCTGGTTCCTTGTGAGAAATACAGTACAGCTTTCTTAGCTCTGTTATTTTTGATGTGGACTAAGCAAATAGTGTCAGTTACTGCTCTGGCCAGAGATTAAGTGTAGGATGAAGTAGTAGTGTAGCATTAAGCTATGATGTCCGTTTGCTTTACAACCACTAGTTTGTGTGACAGTGCTAAACAACATTAAATCTATTGCTACATAGCTACAGGGAGACTACCTGTTAACTAACTAGCCTGTTAACTACAGGTCTACAAGCTAATTCAAAACATTCATTTTGAGTGCTCAAGAAATACATCAGTATAAGGGGTCTTCTGACACTTGTATAAAGTTCTTCCCCCTCTTGACTAACATTAGTCATCAACAGAAAATGGGTCATCAGCATGTCCAATGTTATGGCTGAGAGGAGAGGGACTTGTACTTAGCTCTGTGTTCATCTATTTCTTCTTTTGTTTTTCTGATACAACTAAAAATTTCCTTGAAGAGTGCTTTATATTCAGGAAGAGCATTTGCGGGAGAGTCACTTAGCTCCACATTTGTGAATTCTTGATTGCTAGCTGAAAGATCATACTGGGTGTTCCCCACATTTAGGTCTTTGGAGTACTGCTTCAGCGTTTGTACAGCCTTGTGTTTCAAAGAATCTTCATCCATTTGACATTTCTTCAAAAGTTCCTCATACTTCACTTTCAGAGCATTATACTGAGCATCAACTTCATTAAGAACAGAGATTCCTCGCTGCTTCACAGCTTCAGCTCTCCTAATACATGTTTCTTCGTGGCCCCTTAGAATGTCTCCCCCTGCAGCACTGCTTAGGAAAGTTTCGCTGCTGCTCCGTTTCAGTGCCTTCTTCTCAAGCTCCGATACAGTCAGAAGTCCATCATCTGCCGGGCTCTGACCAAGCTCCCTTTCTAAAGATTCCTTGAATGAAATGAAAAAGGATTCTGGCACCAATTTCTCTGCATTATGGAATGTGTTTTCAGACTGAAGTATTTGTCTCATTTCAGCTACTTCCGCTTCCAGCTCCTCTGCACGAGCCCGATATAAGTCTATATCGACAAGCCTCTGTTCAAGGTCACAGTTCTCTTTTACCATAAGACTATATTCCTCTTCCATTGTTACCCTCTTCTCTTTTTCTAGGTTAAGCTGGGCTTGCAAAACTGTAACTGCCTTTTTTAAGTTCTCATTTTCTTCTTCTAGAGGACTTAGCTGACTATCCATCGAAGTAATCTTTTCTGCAAACACATGATCATAAACAAAATACCTGCAGAAACAAAATAAGTGTTATCAAATTTAGGAAATACATCTGAGCACAACTCCTGAAGTTTTCCTGTCCTGGGTAACTAATGACAGATTTAACCTGTGTGCTAACACGCCTCAAAGTATACATAGCAGTCATTTTACTAACTTATTGGTCCATTTAATAATCAAAACAGAGTTTGTTACTTAATTCTGTCAAATCAAGCCTCCCAGCTTAAGCAGAATGGCAGCTCATTAACAGTTTCAAGTTACCAACAAGCTTATTGAATAACAAGATCTATAATTTAAGTTTAAATAAACATTGCCCTCATGTATCATGCAATACTTTCTGACACTTGGATTATTTTTCTGCAGCACTCCACTCTTGTAACTTTTGTCACTATTGATTGTGGGAACAAGCTTCAAAATTGACAAGGCAATTCTGTAGGCTGGTATTTCCACAAGCCTTTGGCAGTTTGAAAGAATCCACTTATCTTTTGAATTGTCAAGAAATAACTTTTCTGGATGTACGGATTTATTCTACAGTCCTACCTCCACGTAGTGCTGAAGCCCAGACACAAAAGCCTGTTCTGCCTGTCCGTGGAGGTGCTTCACTTAAGAAATTACCTTCTAGGATTGAAGCTAGTCTGAGCTTTTACCCCAGGTGATTGTCCTGATGGGCATACTAATGCAGTTCAGCTGGGTAAAACTGCTCTAAATTAAAAAAGCAGCCCAGATCTCCTAGCATCATTTTACCAGCTTAAGCATCATTTTAACCAGCTTAAGTTCAGGAAAGCTATTGCAGGAATCCTGCCTGCCTTGGAAAAAAAAAGTACCCACGGACATCCAAGGAAAGGGTAAGTTACAGAAAATATTTTGCATTTAGGATATTTGCTTTTCAGAGTATCTGTGTGTATGCTCTTATCTGACTGAAAATAGTGGGATGCAAATTGCTGTAAGCTTTCTAGGCTACATTTTGATATGGTTGGAGACTTTGGGAGAGAATCTTTCAGGACAGAAAGTGGAACCTGCAGTTCCTCTCACACAAAGACTAGTGCGGTCTAGAAGTATGCCAGAAGCAGTGGCAACACCACACAGTGCAGGACTCCACAGATATTTTGCTAGTTGTGAACGTCAGATGTTTTTCTGCTAGCTTGTTTGACATCTGTGCTTATGTCTTAGTTTTTAAAGCTTTGCTTAAAATAATTTCAGTATTCTCTTTGCTATGCAAGGTAAAAAGTCTTACTGGCGAAGGTCATACAGCTCCTTCAAACATGAGAAACTATGCACTGATCTTGGCTGGTCAGATCTCTCATGGTTCATCCGGCCTCGTCCAGTCTTTTTCAATTCTTCTACTTGTCGTTGCAGGTCATCTATGTGTGTCTGCAGATTTTCAATAGTCTCTGTCAAGCTAAAAGGTGAAGGACTGCTGTTAAAAACATTTGAATGCTTAGTCAAGGACATGGGAATTTCTCATTCCCTCATATTGTAGGTTCTTCTCTGAATGCTGCTCTTTGGCCCCAAAAGACCTTTAAAATAAAACTATCCTTTCAATTTAACAGTATTGTAGAACACCACTAGACAGAGACAGCCACCCAATAACCTCACAAATACACTTGGACTGCTCTTTGTCATATTATCAACTGGGCTGGGGAGGGGGGGGGAACCCTAGTGTAAGTTTGTTACCTTAATATCTTTTGTTGTGAAGCTCTACTCTCTGCAACTAGCTTTTGATTAGTGTCTTCCAGTTCTCTTGCTGTCACATCCAGCTGTTCATAGACTTTTGCATGCTGATCATTCATCTGACGCAAGAGCTCCACTTGCTTTGTGAGGTACTGCAACACAGTATTGCTGTTACTAGTTTACACTTGAAACACAAAGACAGGACTATTATTCTGCATTTTTTCTTCACATTCATAGAGAAACTACTAAATTTCAGAAATGTAGATTCCAGTGGTTGCTTTGGTTAAGTGTTCAGTTGAAAAGGCACCATCAGTAACTCAGCTAGGCAGCTTGCCTTTGTCATGGAGGTCAACCCAGGCTGATCAAACAGCCTTTTATCCAGAGGAGTTGGCTTTGGTCGTGCAAGCTGTCTTTATCTAGCCTTGCTGCAGCTAGGCTTTTGCCAGAACCTGAGCATTCTGGATTGGGTTTGTCTGTACTGCAGTTGTCACTGATGCAGCCTTGAATCCAGACTTCAAACATAGCCCTTAACTATCCACTGAGTCCTTCTAAAAGTTGCAGTAGGCTCCAACAGAAATTTTTCAACAGTGTTGACCCAAAAATTTTCTTAGCATTAAAACTGAAATATTAGATAGTACCATCCATAACTGAATTTCTTTTCCACTGACCTAAGTTCTTCCAGTCTGAAGCAGCACTAGGTTCATCAGAACAGAATTTAGGTTGTAGTCACACTTAAGAAAGTATACGGGCTACTATGTGTCAGGAAGTATACTCAAATTATTGAATTTAATCTTTAAGTACTCACAGGGAACTATTCCAGTTACGATAATCCCAAACAAAGGTCTCCTGCCTTTTTTAAAAAATAAAACTCCACATGAAATATTCTCATTTAAATTCTCTTTAGTTTTACAATTAACAACATAGGCTGTTAAGTTTCTTGAATAATGTCAGAAAGCTTAGAATTCTCAGTCTAAGAGCAGTTAACAATCCCCTAAAGGCTCTTAATACAAGTGTCTTATATTGTCCCACCCAGGATAGGGCTGATCCAAGTCCAAAAATCTACAAGAGAATTTGCAGACTGACTTGAACAAAAAAACCCTAACCCTTTAAATCTGAAATACTTTGTTCTTGCATAGAATTTATTTCTTGCAATATATTCTGTATTACTACATGCTACTTACTGAAAAGTAAATTTCAAGTAGGAACACCCAGCAGACTTCTAGGCAGAATTACTTCTCTTTACATAGGCCTGCTACATACTCGAAACTTCTAATATTCTACTTAACCTTTTACCTCATTAAAAGATTGGTGGGTTTACATTTTAGGCAATTTAAGAACAGATAATAAGTTAATCTAGGACTAGTAACTGCTACATACAGACTTCTAGAAGATCAACATGATAGCAGTTGGCTAGATCCTTTCATAGCCTGTGCGCACATGACTGAGGATTTATACAAAAATAGTACATGGATTAGCAGCAGAATCTCAATGTGACCCATTTCAGATTAACTTTCCCTATTGGTTATTCTCAGAAGGAGCTGGAAATCTTCAGACTTTCTTCAGCGATAGGAGCGTGGCTAAGCACAGAAGCCAAACCTTTGGTGCCAGAATTAGATGTTACTACTTATTACAATGGGCTTTTGCAGAAGTTTTAGATGAATGGAAGAGGTGAAGCACCATTTTCTTCACCTTGCGTCTCTAGTATCTTCAGTGTTGGTGTCAAGTTGGCCTGCTATAACCAGGCCACCAAAACAAAGTACAGATGTGGTAATAAATAATTTAGAAGTTCAAATTTATTCCACTTCCCCTGCAGCTGAGCACCTAACATGAAGCAGCATTTCAGACTTCTTGCATGCTACCACATGATAAAAGGAGAGTGTCAGTATTTCTGAAGTCTGAGTGCTGAGAACAGATTCAGACAGGAATAAAGTTGCCCTTTCAATCCAGCATTTATTACATCTACAGTGATTAGTTAGTGGCACACGTGTCAGCACAGAGGTCAGATATAATGAGCCAAGGCTGTAAAACGCTTAGTATGTTAGCGTTTAATATATTAGATGTAATCTTAAGCATCCCAAAGCCTTTGACCCTTCCTTTTCAGTGCAGACAAGGTAGTACCATATTTCAGAATGATTTCTTGGCCAGTTCTAGACTTTGCTACCCATAAGATGTGAATTAATAGGAAAAAAACCCCAGAGATTTACACTGATATACTGCACTGAAAAGGCTACACAGCAGAGTAGCTACAAGTAGCTGAAAGATCACATTTAGGTTAGAGACAAGTACTTGAAAATTAGGAAAAATCAAGCATAGAGACTGGATACACCACTTGCACACGTATCCTGTGCAGTGGGGTATCCTGCGCTCCCAAAGACAGAAATATAGGTTTGAAAATAACTGACTGAACTGCTTTCACCAGCTAAAAAGTACTGCACCTTGCATATGCTAACTTTTATTCCCATTTGTTTCAGTGAATTCCTGTAACAATCCCTTGTGCCAGTAAGCTAATATATTCCGTTCCTCCATCTTGAGGTTCTCTGGGTATTTGAAGAAGGGGAGCATTTGATTTTCCCTTTTCTACCAGAAATCCAGATACAAGAGAGACTTCTTTGGAGAAAGAAATGTTTTGAGTTGCTATTACACTTTTAAACTGCACTGGGAAAAGACAGAAGATTAAGACAGGTGGTAGAACAGAGAAGACAGCATGTTTTTATGGTAGATTCGAATACAGTCTACAGGTTCTTTGACTCAACACAGTGAGGTGGGCAAATAAAGGTGCAGGCAGTACTTAGATGTCGGAAGCATCACAAAAACTGTTCTCCCTTCTCTCTTCCCCCTCCTTTTTGGGGGGAGACTAATAGGACAACCCAATATACACTCCTGCCCATGTTGGGGGAGAAGAAGAAAGAGAAAAAAGAGGTATCAGATAAAGCCTTCAAAAAGTAGTATTGCACAAGTCTTGATTTGGGTTTTTTTGGTTGGCTAAGCAAAGCAAGATATTGAGAGAACGAATTAGTCTGTCACTGTTTGAGGTTGTCTGAACATACAAGTACTTGACCCTACAACACACCAACAACTATAGGTCACTACTGGAAAGACACCTTAGACCACTTCCTGGTGCTGAAGCCCTCTTATGTTGTCAATAAACACTAACCCACAAAAAAAGCTTAAGCAAATAAACTAGATTAAACCAACAGGATATTACATCCTTAATCACACTAGACTATTTCTATAAATGAATGCAGCTTAGCAATAATGTATTTTCCATATTTCAAGATAGAGTTAAAATACAGCTGCTTATTAAGTAGCTACACCCAATGAGCCAGGTTAGTTATCTATCACAAAGTTATACTGTGTTATTTCGAAAGGTGTGTTGTAACTGTGTTAAACGCTTCCTTAAACACAATTGTTCATACAGGTGTTGAACCTCAAGTAGAATAGTATTTGTATAGCACCTTGAAGTGTGTGTCCTCTCTAGATCTTAAGAATTAATCTTTTTATAAAAACCATTCATGGCAATGAGTTATTTTAAGTTTCGACATAAGTAAATACATTCTTTGTAATGCTGTGGCACTAATATAAGCATCAGCCATTCCAACCATGGTATCACGGAATGAATAAGACAACAAAGATGATGTTTAGCATGTAATAAGAGGAAAGAGACAAAGTATGAGGTACAAAACAGAAGTATCTTATTAAAAAAAAAAAAAAACAAAACCACACTAACAACCCTGCACTCAGAAATTGTGCAGCACCTAATAAAAATGCTGCATTTGTGTTAACACGACTAAAGACACCTATATGTTTTTAAGTATTAAGCTTAGGATTCTTTAAGTTACCTGTTACCACTACAATAAGTGTTTTAAGTTGCAGCTGTACAAAATCCACACACTGTCCATAACTGCGTAAGTACTGCCTGCACAAAGGAACTGAGATTCTGTAAAAATCTAGTGTATACCAGTCACAGCCTGTTCCCTGTGATTCGTACCAGAACCAAACTGAAATGCTGACTACACTTCCAATATGTTGTCAGTCAGCAAAGTACTGAATATTTAATAATTTCATTATTAGAGACCATGCATAGCCCTCTAATAGCTGAAAAAAAATCCATTATGCTGACAAATGCTGGGTCTGCAAGAACACAGGCAATATGAAAAAAAAAAAAAGAAATTGCCAAAATGGCCAGGTTTCCCACCACGTAACACAAAGATGGGTGGTTTTGAAAGGTGATGATTTTTTTTCCCCCCCTGAAAAATACATAACAATATTATCTACTACATCCTGTATTTAGATACTATTTAAGTGTTTGGGTTTGCTGGGGTGGTTTGTTTGTTTTTTAATTAAAATAGACTTCAGCTCCTTTTACCACAGCTCAGTTTAGTGGAAGTACATATCCTCAGATTTTATTTCAATCTCTCCTACACTTATCAGCATTTAAATTTCAGTGCTGTAACCACTAACATTTTCATATAATGATTTAAATTATTGATTTATTATCATCATATAATTTAATGTCATTTTACCTGGAAAGATCAGCAAAATTTAGCAATAAAATAACTGAAGTGACTTTTCTGTACAAAAAGAAAAATACCAGTCATTTGTCACTAAACAAGCCAAATGCAACATGAAGTTTAATGGCACAAAGCTTCCAGTAATAAGACAAACAGTTCTAACTATGATCAAGCCTATACAGGTTCTCAAATTCTCAAAGTAGCACACGTGGTTAAAGGTTGTTCAGTATTTTTCTTTAAAGTGTCCATCAGATATCAAGAAATTCAGATCTCAACTTATGTGCTGTTATGTTGCAGGTCTAGATGCTATAACACTTGGATCCCTTAATTATTTACCTCTATCTCCTGCAGTTGCTCTTGATTTGTTGCATACATTTGCTGTAAAGATTCTTCTAGTTCAGTGTTTCGGTCCAGTAGTGTTTTCCCAAGCTCAGCAGCAAGGTGAAGATCTAACCAAAGAAATCACGTTTGCACATAAGTTGTAGAGCCAATAATATAATCTAATTTTAAAGCATTTTACTTGACGTGGGTTTTTATTGCTGTTATAACTGCTCTAAGTTATTTCCAGTACCCAAAATGAAAGTCAGCTTATACTTAAGTATAACATTCATATACCATTTATAATGCAAGTCTAAGTCAATCCTGAAACCTAGAAGATAATCTTTATTTCATGAAGCTTCCTTAGTTCCTTCCTTTGGCCCCTCGGCCACAGGTCAAACACATCCAGCCATCTTCTCTTCACATCCCACAACCTGCCTAGTACTACACCAGCATCTCCATCCCAGGTGTCCGTTAGTGACACTTCACCATGTTTACAGCACTCGTATTTTAGAAGAGTAAGCGTAAAAGACCCTGCAAATGTTCATCAGGGTAGACCCAGGCCAAAGCTGACTGCACTGTTACTTACTTTGCTGTTCTTCCCTATTACCCCTTCACCAAAGAGCTCAGGTCATACAGGATCAGTGTACTAAACAAAAGTTTCAGATGCTCTTTATGGTGAAACAATAATATCAAAAAAACATAAAACTGATAAAGAAGTGTAGCTATTCTGCTTTTCAAGCTCATAAACCTAGGAGACAAGAATTGTTTTATGTGCTCCAAAACATCATTTTAAATGTCATTTGTTCTCAAGCACTTAATCTCAATTTCACTTCAGTCATCTTCAATCACCTCCAGGGTGCAGTGACTGTAGTTGCTTCAAATTAAGAAATAAGTCATCTGAACACTCAGTTCCTTTCTAGAGGAAAGCTTGATATTTGTTCAACAGCATCAGTAGTGCTAGATATTCTATATTATTATGTTTAAAGTCGTGTAATTTAAAAGCTAACATAATGCAACAAAGAAATAAATCTTGGTGTTGTTGCTAAAACTGTAATTACTCTGTGCAGGGTATTACTGTCCTGGTTTCAGCTGGGATGTAGTTAACTGTCTTACTAGTAGCTGGTACAGTGCTATGTTTTGAGTTCAGTATGTGAAGAATGTTGATAACACTGATGTTTTCAGTTGTTGCTCAGTAGTGTTTAGACTACAGTCAAGGATTTTTCAGCTTCTCATGCCCAGCCAGGGCACCTGACCCAAACTGGCCAACAGGGTATTCCATACCATGTGACGTCCCATCTAGTTTAGGAACTGGGAAGGGGGGGGCAGGGATTCGCCGCTCGGGGACTGGCTGGGTGTCGGTCGGCGGGTGGGGAGCAATTGCCCTGCACATCATTTGTACATTTCAATCCTTTTATTACTACTGTTGTCATTTTATTAGTGTTATCATTATCATTATTAGTCTCTTCTTTTCTGTTCTATTAAATCGTTCTTATCTCAACCCAGGAGTTTTACTTCTTTTCCTGATTTTCTCCCCCATCCCACTGGATGGGGGGGGAGTGAGTGAGTGGCTGCGTGGTGCTTAGTTGCTGGCTGGGGGTAAACCACGACAATTACACGTTAAGAATCCAACAGATTTCTAAAAATCTCTAGTTTTCCAGCTCCTTCCCATCACCTGGACCATGACCAGCTTGTCTCCTCCATGCGTGCAATACAATCTTGTTAGTTTTCACATAGAACTAGCATCACTATGGGAAAGAGACTGAAGAAAAAGTCAAGAAAAACTTAGATTGACTTCAAGAAGACCTAAATTAAAATACAAAAGACATGTATTGCATCATCAGTAGTTGTAGCTAGATGAGAAAACACATTCCATTTTCATTTAAGATGCCCTTGTTTTAACATGTTATCTTACCTCTTTCCTGCCCTTTCCCAATTATCTTATCAGCTAGTCGTTGTAATAGATACAACACTATTCCAAGATTGCTTTGTGCTAACCTTCAGTTTGGCAGCCTGTCCAAAATGATTACTCCATCTACATACATAACCCAAAGACCAAATTCAGACTTACAAGGACAAGTGAGTAGGAACATTTGTCTATTAAGTTGTTTTGCCAGAATTGGACGTCTACAACAGCTCTGGTATTCTTTACACATTCTTTACAGCTACAGTGCTTTGTTTCCTACCTTAAGATCAGATTCTTAGAATAAATGCTACAAAAAATATTTAAAACAAATCACACTGCATGGGAGTTCTTCACAGTTTCAAAAGATGTATGACTAGGAGCCACATGGCATGCTGATCTATACTTAGGAGTTTATCCTCACATAGCTTTTTCATTGTAACACTTGTTAAGAAACACAGCCTATTCTAGAGCTGGGGTTTAAAGTATTTGGATAAGGAAACCTTAAGGCATCCTGCTTAAGTTTTTCCCATTTTTAAACAGAGATTGTACATTGTTTACCCATGGACAGAGCAACTCCCAGTCAAACACCAAAAGCTGTTTGTTCTATCACATTACAGAATACTGTAGTCTTCAAATCCAGTGAATCTGTCATCCTATATAAAATGGATTCCCAATTCACAAGTTCTCATACTACGCAAATCTCTACTAGGACCCACAATCTTTAAAGCTAGTCAACAATATTGGCATCATTCAAGGCAAAGACTAAATACTTCATTCTTTTATTTTAATAGAGTAGAATAAGAGCTTTAGAGAGGATTTAGGATTATGTTAAAGACGTAATGCATAATGGAATTACTTGCTGCCGTTTCCCTTCCCAAAGTGAAAGTTTGTTCTGATGTTTAAGTACATTTAGGAGTTGATAGTTTCATTCTTAAATGCCCCCTCATCTACTAAATCAAGTAGCATATACCACACAGTACTTTGAATACAATGTGAATAATAGAATTCATGTCATTATACTTACACACTCATTCTGTTCATTAGAATGGCAGAAGCACAGATGAGTTACTATGTGAGAAACATGCTATTTTGTAATTAAGGCAATTTGTTTCTGAGGGGGAAAAGACAAGTGGAAGAGCTCAGGAACATGCAATAAAACCCTAACTCCTACCCCTGGAGAAAGCAAGGACCGAAACAATTTCACCCCTCCTAAAATTAAGAATTTGTTTTGAGTCCATTTTTCTACATTGTTAAGTACCTATAAGCCCTATAAAGAGCAAATTTTAAGAGCAAATCTGTTCCAAGATACAGAAGGAAAACAGTTAATTTACATTTCTCTTAGAGAGTTACTGTACAATACTAGAAGCACACTGCATTTTCTGTTGTAAATTTATGTAAAGTAACAGCTAAGTTCTGCCACAGACATGTATTTTTTCCTTTTCACCCAGAAGATGTAAGCAGAGAGGTTTTTAATAATGCAAACTGCATACGTGCAGATCTTCAGATCTTCATTTTAGTAAATCTGATCAGTTGTACTGGTGTTTAACATTTCCATCAGAAATCTCTAAGCCAAAACAAGACTTCAAGGATAAGTCTTCTGTGATGTTAAACAGCCCTCACTTACCAGCACTTCTCCAACCTCTTCTGACAGCGTTACTACAATTGAGAAAAAGATAAAAACAGTACAAAATCCTTCTCTTCTACTTTTCCATAACCCACCTAACAAAAATGATTCAGAGAATTTTCAATCTAAAAATAAGCCTGTTCTTTTTCAACAGTAAAAGGCATCAGTAGTGCAAGATAAGTAAACAAGCCTGGTTGAAGTTTACTTAACTGTAAAATTAAACCCTTAACTTTTTTTACTTAGCTTCATATTTCCTACTCCATGTTCAGATTACCCCCTGTTCTGCTAAAGCAAGTAACAGCAAGATGTAAAAAGAGCAGTCATGTAAAAATTCTTTTTCAAAGGTCAGCATACTGCAGCAAAACATGGATGTTGCAGAAGGAAGGATAGCTGTTCCCATCCTTAAAAGAATTCCATGAGCATTCTCTTTTCATGAACAGCATGCCAGAAAAGCCCACCTCCATTGTCAAGGCAAAAGCTTTTGGTGCATACAAAGACTGTCAAAGTTTTTCCAAAACCCTACCCTAGTTTTAAGTTTCAAAGCCTGGCTGACAAGGACTACAAGCTTGTTTCAGGGTGCTTCCTGGTGTTTTACAACCTAGGTTTTCTCATAAACTTACTCCTCAGTTTTTAAATGTGCACGGATTGTTTGGGTCGTAAAAAGTTTCAAGAGACCTTGATAAGCAATCTTACTACTCTGTTTACATACATTGGTGTTGCTTAGTCTTTGGAGGAGTATCTTTCACATTCCAGGAATAAAGTATAACAGAACACTTAAAAAAAAAAAACATTCCTGTAAGGAATTTCTTCTTTGCATTTCAACTTGCCCATCAGTTTATTTTCCTTCTTTCCCTTTTGGCAAGGCTATTAGTCACTTGTATTTAGGCTTGTAAAGAGATAATCCCCAGAAAAAGATTGTGCAAATGTTGGGAGAGCATTAACCAACCCTCAGAATGCACTAACCTCTAGAATGGAATACTGTTTCTTAAAAGCTCACAGTAGAGAGCCAAATGGTGATTATTTCACTCATTTTAATTAAAAGATTAAATTAAAGAAACATCAATAAGGCCAAAAGTCAGTTGCTATACATTTTGAAGTCTCTTTGTAGGTCTACCCCATAAACACTGACATAGTAAAAACATTGCTAAATCATGTCTTCAAATTTTCCATTTTCTTCCCTTTGACAGCAAACTATGGTTTTGGGATCTTATTTAAATTTATTGGTTTGTATCCTAGAGCCATGAAAACATCTATTTTAAGCAAAGGGTACCTAAATACAGCTCTCAAACAGTTAGCTATTTTATAGTCAAAGCATACAATTAGAGACACCTATGCTCATCTCAAAAAAAGTTTCTGCTGTCAGATGCCTGATCTCAGAGTGAAAACTGCTTAGCTAGGAAAGGCTTTCAAAAGTATCTTTCTTTATGGTTTATAGTACAGTAGCACCTACCAATCCCAAGAATTAATGTACTTCAATGTAAAAGCCAAATAAGGCTGGAGCAGGTTTGCAGGAAGCCACTTCACAGCTTTGAGTTGGCCTTTTAAAACAAGCTCAGGATTAATAACAAAAAGTAGAACTAAGTAAATACCAGTCATAAATACCACTAAGCTCGTAAGGAAATTGCACATGCTTTCCGTATCATGTCTGTAGAGGATTTTTAGTGCAATTATACTTGGTATATTCTTGTGACTCCTTCCTCACATGTGAAATCAAGGATAGCATTTAACTCCTGCAGGTAGTGTTTTAAGACCTATTCAGACAATGACATACAAGAGCTAGATACGTCTAATTCTGATGGATAGTGGAGTTATTCATATATTTTAAGAAGAAAACTTTGGAAGTTTTTAATAATGAACCTGCAACTAATCGAGCACAGCGACATTCACAGCTCCATCGACTCGAAGCCCTTACGAAAAGGCTCAACAGGGTGCAATATAGCAACCCACCCCCACGCTTCCAGCGCCCGCTATTTCCAGCGCCCACCCCGCATAGCTGCTTTACGTCCTGTCAAGGTGCAACTTTTCGGAGAGCCGCTTCCCTCCCTCCCTCCCTCCCTCCCGGGCGGAGAGGAACCCGGGCACAATTCAACTCGGCTGCAGCAACCCCTTCCGTCAAACAAAGACAGCCGCGATCTTTTATCGGTAACAGCGATCCTCTCTCTGCCTACGCGCCCGAGGCGGCGGGAAGCACGGCCGTGAGGGGAGCCCGGGCTCCCGGCTGCGACACTCGCGGGGCGGCACCGGCCCCGCTCCCGCCGCCGCCCCGCGACCCTCG